GGTTGGTTAGAAGAAGGTTACGTGTAGCTCGTAGTCCTTTAAGAGGTTCGGTAAGTTCCCCCGTCTCTTTCCCTGTTAACATGTTCATTTTTTTTTTCAACTATATATCATCTAACTCCTAATCTACCGTGTTCATATTAACTATCGCATTTTTTCCCTTTGTCTGTTAAAATCATGGACATAAACACCTTAATCAAAATCTTTGCACCTCATAGAGTTGACGCCTCTGTGAGGTGGGAGCGCAGTGGTTGGGAGGGATGATCCAACCCCCCTCCACACCCTCTCAACAACCCCCACCACCCCACACCCAGACACCACTCAACCATTCCACACTTTTCATTTCACTCATCATTGGGCAAGCGCTCACCACCCCCTCAACCGAAAACAAAACAACCAACCCCTGCACCCACCCACCCCGAGGATCTCCAGCGCCTGGGGGGGGGATTGGAAGGCATTCAGGCTTAATTCGTGAACTGAGCACAGATCCAATTCCCTAAATCAAGAGGGGCCCCTCACCAACATCAGGAACCATCCTGTGAGGGGGTCAAATCCTCTACAAAACCAAGACGGGGAGAAGCAACGGGTGCCCCTTAACCTCGTTAAACCAATAACCACAAGCAGCAGCGAGTTTTGATGCACTGTTGAGAAGCGAGTAATGAGTCTCCGTGAACCGCTTCATAGGTTTGAGTATTGAGGTGGCGTCCAGAGGAGCAGTGAGAGTCAGTTTGGGCTGGTACGTCCCAGTCCACGTCCATCATTCTAATAGTCTGTCCTACAGCCTCTTGGTACTATCCACTGATTTATATAATATATCTTCGCTGTTATGGAAAGATTTTTAAATTGTGTGGGATTTTAACAAGAGTCCTTACATCAAATTTATTTTCTTTTGTTAAAAGGCTTAATTTCAATTAAGAAATAATTCCTACTAAAAATAATTCTTTTTTTTTTTTTTAACGTTCTATGAAATAAGTCTGCCAATCTTAGGTGAACTTCAAAACATACGTCAAGTCTGTCCCTCTCTAATTAATCTAAGTACTCCTAAATTCCAAACAGAATAACTTGGTTATGAATACTAATGTTAACAGCTGGAACATCAATAGCCTTATAAAAATCCCCTGTTTGGTCCTCGTACAATAAATGTCTTTGCATAACGACGCCTTATATAACGTCCTCTCATAAAACATAACTCCTCTACCCTTAATTTATAAGACCAATTACCTTTTCTTTTCCAATGTCACGCAATATTTAATGTTTGCAGGACCTCAAACAATTGAACCCTACATCCCCTTGATATTTACTAAATTCCTTAACAATACATTAAAAGGCTCCTATACTTTTCGGTGGAACTTCAGTATTTTTAATCCCGGTATTGAAAGTTTAAAGTCCTGTTAGGTAGGTTTTCTTACAATAACCATTGATCAAACATGACTCCTAGTTAAAGCTTAACTAACTCTCGACCCACGCGAAACGCCGTAAACACTAAAGCAGTAAAGTCAGTAGAAGTACCACTGTGGTTACTTGCCTTGTTCCCCACCTCCCCCCCCCCCCCCAGCATGACCCACACCAGACAACTCGCGCTTGGGGGTCCCTCCTTGCTACATCAAAACAGGGTAAAAAGTGTAAGCCACACGACTAAATAAACTTCTACCCCTGCTGAACATCTCACCTAGGTGCTCACGAAATCTAGACTATAAACGACCACACCACGGGCGGGAACGAAATTAATACCTAGTTGGATAAATCTACTGTAGGCTAACGCACTGATGAGGATTTCGGCGATTGATCCGGGTTCTATCCCCACCCTGGTAAGGTTTTAATCTAGCCTGGGACCTTGAAAGTTCGCTGGAACCTTCACCAGTCAGCTACGGGCTTAACGCCCACTTTCCCACTCCATCCCGAAGTCAAATGACTTCCACCGCACTTGCCACCGTTGTCGATCTAAACTATGTAAATGGAAGACAGGAACTTCCTATATAAAATCCGTCAACCGAATAGGTTGCTGCAATACATTATACAACTTCCAACGTATTAAACCCTCTACCATTTTCTCTACAGGAATTTCCGTCAAAATGATGGGCTTCTACCCAACACTTCTACTGCTTCTACCTTCACTAGGTGAGTAAATATTCATGCACTACTCAAGGTTTTACTGATTACATACTCTGTTCCGCCTTAAATCTTAAATGTTCTTGTCGCTCCATTCTGCCATTTTCCCAGTTGCCGGCACGAAAGCCATCAACTCAGGGATGCTGCTTTCGGCACATCAACTCAAAACACGGAGAAGTAGCACTCAGTCCTTCCTACCTGCTCCTCTCGCTATCTGTGAGAACGGACATCATTCAAAAACACTTCGGTCGGCGGCCCCAGGAGGCCTCACTATGTAATTACATGTTATGGTACTTAACCTCTCTATACACAAGGTGGTTTATTATATACTAATTACTTTTTAAAAATACGTCCTTTAAACATAGCTTCCTTTGCAGGCTGTGAATTCGATTGGATTTAATGTATCAAACGGCTCTAAGCTGGTAGCTCAGAGCAATGCCCTTAGTGTGTGTTGGCGGTGACTGGCGCCAACTCAAAAGAATTTGAAGACTGCGTACGTATTAGGTTTCCCTATAGAAAGTAAATATAAAATCTTAAGCTGGCTAATTCTGAAGTGACTAACCAGCTTTCCAGGTAAACACTGCTACATGTACACCGACCCCATACATAAAGAGACTTTCGACGGTTACTACTACAACTGCATGGATTGTGGCCAAACAATTCCTCTTGAGCCCAAAGTGACTTCAGCTACACTCGGAAGTTGGGGTCTACAGTACCTTCCAGTTTCTGCAAAGGTCACGCTTCATGCCACTCACAACCACCTAAAGGACAACGCACATAACAGTGATCACAATTGATTGCAGCTCGGACAACCTTTATTAAAGCCTTGAACTGTCCCTAACTGCTAAAATCATTGTCTCTAGCCCTGCAAATCTGTTCTCCCTTAATAATTTTTCTTTGTCTTTAAAACCTTTCCATTGTTACAGGTAATTGTCATGGCGAAAAATACCACTGTACCACCAACGGGTGTGGCTAATGTTCAGTCTTTAATTATGCTACAGAAAGTCTGATATTGCCTGGAACATTTTTAAAATGGCTTTAGTTTTTAAAGGCAAAATACATCTATAAGTTTGCATGAAGTGATAAAGACTAGTACTGAATCTAACATTGTATAAAACTTTTATATTTAGCATAAGATGTTTTTGACGTTTTGTATTGTGTTAAAATTTATTGTTGGTCCATTTATTTGAACAATTTTTAATTTTTGTTAGTTGTTTGTTAGTTTTTAGTTATTTATAACTTTTATAAAATGTAAGTTAGTAAATGCTAAGATCTGTTAGTTTGTATGTACTGTCAAAAAAAATAACATGATTCTTTTTGATTTAGGTTATACACTTTTGTCATGTCATGTGTATATATGTACATTGTTTCAGGCTAAGTACATGAAAAGGGGGGGGGGTTACCACTATTATGTGGCTGCAAGGGTTTATCCTGCACATTGAAAGGGATTGAGAGAGAGATACTATAGTGTAAGGGTTTAGTTCAATGGATTAGGTATATTTTGTGGTGAGATTATAAATTGTGTAAGTTTTGTTTTCTTGTCTTTTGACAAAAACAGTTTTTATGTCTATATTTTGGTACCATGTAAGTTTTCAATAAAATATAAAAAAAAAAAATTCCTCCTCAAGTTCCAACACTTCCTCCTGTACTTTTTGTTCAACTCGATCCACTGGAAGTGTGTCTGGACCAGGTAACTGGTCAAGGGCCTCACCCTCTCCCCCAGCCTTATACGCCTCATCCACTATCTCGCTCCATAGACGACCACGCCCTCCTTCACGTCGTTGATCAACACCTGCGTCCCCTGGTGTAGAAGCGGATGTCTCCGCCTCTGGGCCAGGAGCTCGTTGCCGCTTCCCACACTCCGCCGCTATGTGATCATATTCCCCACATAGTCGGCAGGTACGCCTTTGCCCCGCGTATGACACCATGACCTGTGTCCTGAATTCCTTTAGGTACACGTAAGACGGTATGGGGTGTCGCAATGACATTTTTAGGTTAAAAGTGCCCTCCGGATACCTGTGTAGGCACCCGACACCCACTTACCATGCTGGGCCAAATGAACAGTTCCGTATTCCTCAAATACGTTTCTGATATCTGCCTCATCCGCCTCAAAGGGGACATTACGCAATTTAATCCATGTATAATGTCTGGATACATCGATCATCCTCACACGCACAGCTGGTGTTGCATCAAGACTTACGTCCTGAAAACGGTTGACCAACGACTCGTAAACCGTTGCTGAGAGCAGTTTCACAAAAAATCTACGTGCTCCGTTCAATGCTACGCCGTACAACTCTCCATCCTGAATGCCATACGTGTCTCTGATGATTTTAGGTAGTAATACCTGGGCTGAGGCTGGCGTTATTGCCCCACTGAGAAGTTCAATACCGACAGTGTTAATCCTGCGTCTGTAACTGCACGCCATGTTGACTAATAGTAGTTCTCCTGGTCTGACGACAGAGGCGCGACAAGCACCACCTCACACTACTGCTGTCAGGGAACTGAAGAGCGTTTGCGCAGGAGGTCTGCACGGCCCAATAGCGATGCAGACAATGGGATTAAAGATTAATGTAATCTTGTTTGGTTGGTAGAAGGTTACGTGTAGTCGGTAGTCTTTAAGAGGTTCGTAAGTTCCCGTCTTCTGTTAACATGTTCATTTTTCACTATAATCTACCGTGTTCATAATTACTATCGCATTTCCTTTGTCTGTTAATTCATGGTATAACTTAATAAATCTTTGATAAGAATTGTGTTGTAGAAGTCTGAGCTGTGTTCAAACCTCTACAACAAGACGGGGAGAAGTTACGTGCCCCTTAAACCTCGTTAACCAATTAACCAACAGCAGCGAGTTTTGATGAACTGTATGAGAAGCGAGTAATGAGTCTCAGTGAACCGCTTCATAGGTTTGAGTAGTTGAGGTGGCGTCCAGGAGGAGCAGTGAGAGTCAGTGTGGGCTGGTACTGTCCCAGTCAACAGTCATCTTCTACAGTCTCTTGGTACTTATCCATGATTTTATATATATTCGCTGTTATTGGAATGATTTTTATTGTGTGGGATTTTAACAAGAGTCATTACATCATTTTTTTTTCTTTTGTTAAAAGGCTTTAATTTCAAATAAGAATAATTCCTACTAAAAATAAATTTTTTTTTTTTTAACTTCTATGAAATAATTATGCAATCTTGGGTGAACTTCAAAACTTACGTAAAGTCTTCCCGCTCTTAATTAAAGCTAAGTACTCCTAAATTCCAGAACAGAATAACTTGGTTATGAATACTTAATGTTACTGCTGGAAATCAATAGCCTTAAAATCCCTGTTTTGTCCTCGTACAATAAATGTCTTTCATAACGTCGCCTTTATAACTCCTCTACCCTTAAATTTATAAACAATCAACTTTTCCAATGTCACGCAACATTAACGTTAATAAATCAAACTATTGAACCTACTTCCCTTGAGTTTAATAAATTCTTAATCATTAAAAGGCTCCCTATACTTTTCGTGAACTTCAGTATTTTAATCCCGGTATTGAAAGTTTAAAGTCCCTGTTAAGGTAGTTATCTTAAGATAACTTGAATCAAACATGACTCCTAGGTTTAAAGCTTAACTATACCTCTCGACCAACTCGAAACGCAGTAAACTAAAGCAGTAAGTCAGTAGTAGTACCACTGTGGTTACTTATCTTGTTCCCCCCCCCCCCCCAGCATGACCCACACCAGACAACTAGCGCTTGGGGGTACCTACTTGCTACATAAACAGGGTAAAAAGTGTAAGACAACGTCTAAATACTTCTACCCCTGCTGAGAATCTAACCTAGGTGCTCACGAAATCTTAGACTATAAACGAACCACACCACGGGCGGGAACGAAAATTATACCTAGTTGGATAAATCTTACTGTAGCTAACGCGACTGTCTAGGATTTCGCGATTGATCACGGGTTCTATCCCCACCCGTGGTATGGTTTAATCTAGCCTGGGACCTGAAGTTAGCTGGAAAGCTTCACCAGTCAGGCTACGGGCTTAACCCCACTTTCCCTCCACCCAAAGTCAAATGACTTCCACGCACTTGCCACCTTGTCGTTTTGACTATGTAAATGGAAGACTATAAACTTCCTATATAAAATCCTTCAACCGGAATACAATGCTGCTATACATTATACAACTTCCAACGTTTTAAACCCTCTACATTTTCTCTACAGGAATTTCCGTTCAAAATGGGCTTCTACACAACACTTCTACTGCTTCTACCTTCACTAGGTGAGTATTATTCTTGCACTACTCATGGTTACTGTTTACATACTCTGTTCCGCCTTAAATCTTAAATGTTCTTGTCCTCCATTCTGCCATTTCAGTTGCGGCAGGAAAGCCATCAACTCAGGGATGCTGCTTCGGCACTTCAACTCTAAAACACGGAGAAGTAGCACTCAGTCTTCCTTCCTGCTGCCTCTCGCTAGTCTGTGAGAACGGACTCATTCAAAAACACTTCGTCGGCGGCCCAGGAGCCTCTCAATGTAAGTACATGTTATGGTACTTAACCTCTCTATACACAAGGTGGTTTATTAATTTCTAATTACTTCTTAAAAATACGTCCTTTAACATAGCTTCCTTTGCAGGCTGTGAATTCGATGGATTAATGTATCAAAACGGCTCGAAGCTGGTAGCTCAGTGCATCCCCTTAGTGTGTGTGGGCGGTGCCTGGACGCCAACTCAAAAGATTGAAGAATGCTGTAAGTTTAGGTTTCCCTTTAGAAAGTAAATATAAAATATTAAGCTGCTAATTCTGAAGTGACTAACCTGCTTTCAGGTAAACACTGCTACTTGTACAACGACCCACACATTAAGACTTTCGACGGTTACTACTACAACTGGAATGGATTGTGCAACTATTCTCTTGCCCAAAGTGACTTCAGCTACACTCCGGAAGTTGGGGTCTACAGTACCTTCCAGTTCTGCAAAGGTCACGCTTCATGCCTCTCACAAACCACCTTTAAGGACAACGCTCATACAGTGATCACAATTGATTGCAGCTCGACAACCTTTGATGTAAAGGCCTTGAACTGTCCCTAACTGCTAAATCTTTGTCTCTAGCCTGCAGAATCTGTTCTCCCTTAATAATTTCTTTGTCTTTAACCATTCCATTGTTACAGGTAATTGTCAATGGCGATAAATACACTGTACCACAAACGGGTGTGGCTAATGTTCAGTCTTCACAAGGTGCTCAACCAGTCCTGACATGGAGAGAGACTGATTGTATTTACTTCCTGGGGTCTTCAAAACTTGTGGTATTTAAAATTTAAACTATTTTACCTTAACTATTTCATGAACCTATCTAAACCATGCAACGAAATTGCTGGCTTGTTTAAAAAAAAAAAAAAAAAAAAAAAAAAAATCTACTCCAGATTCAACACTGCCCTGGTCGCCTCCACATATGGGCCTACCCCAGCCACACTAACCACCTAGACGGCCTGTGTGGTCACTTCAACTTCTACGAAGTGGATGACTTCACAGACAGACACCAGCACGTCTATCCACTCCAGTCCTTTCCTCTGGCTTTCCCAGAGTCTTGGCGGGTTAGACTTTTAATATACTCTAGCATTTGCAAATATTACCTAAAACTATACTTCAAATACACTGAACTTTTCTTTATTTCCAGACCCGGCATCAGGTTAATACCCATTGTTTACACTGCAACGGCTGTGACGCTCAAACTGCAGTAAGTGGGATTTAGGTTTCGTGAGGGTTGAAACTAGTTGGTAATAAAGCTTACTTATGGATACTCTTTTTCTAGTTTACTTAATTATGTAGTACTAAGTTAATCATGCTGGTAAGAGCCTGGGGTAAATTTGCCTTGACTAACCTTTTAAACAAAAATTCAGTCTCCATTTAAAAACCTTCATTGCAGGTGGACCCATGTCAGCCAGCACCACTGAAGGAAGACTTGGCTCAGTGCCAAAGCTTAATGAACCCCATTATAGGCAGGGACGTGGAGCTGGAGCCTCACGTTGGTAAGTCATGGCCTAGAACAACCTTTCATTGCATACCGAAGTTACTAAAGGCCTAGATTTAAATTTAGGTAAAAATTTGCTGGACAGGGGCTCAAACCCCCCATTCCCCCTTCCCTTGAAGTAACTTAACTTTTTTTTCTTAAACTCTCATTCCCAAGTTGCCAAAACTCACACTGCTTTGGCCTATAATCCTAAGTTTATTTTTCTTAGTGTTAACTTTCCTCTAACAAACTAAATTTCCTTTAAATTAGACTTCTTCCCTTCATTATTTTTTACGTATCCATTGATCTTTAATGTACACTGGCAGAGGCGTGCGCCTGGGACTTGTGTATGATGCGAAGTACTGGAGCCACAGCCTCTCAGATGTCAGACTGGCTAATACAGCTTCAGATTATCCTCCAGCAAATCAAGCTTATCTTCGCAAGAACTCGTGGTAACTTTACTCTTTTATAATTAGTTCAATATTACTGAACCTTAAATACTAGATTCTCACACTTCAAGCCATTTTTACAAACTGCTGAAACAATGAAAGGCCTTTAACGGAAGGTTGTAACTTAGATTTTTTTTTAGATTCATGGGTGCCACATGGTCCTCCTTCCTCCGGCACTTGTTCACCCGGCTCCTCGTGGATGACAAACTGCAACAATTGCAGCTGTACCAGCACAGGCACCCTAGCTGCTTGCACAAAATTGTTGTGTATATTAGGTACGCAGCTTTCTAATTTTATCGGGACTTTTATTCCTAAATACCGTGGGTTGACAATTTTTAAATTAACACTTTGTACCCATTTCCAAGGACCTTGATTTCTTTTAGGTTACAAGCACCCACTGGGTACAAACTCGTGCAAGGACGGCTCGTGGTGGATGAAGGACGAGTGTAATTGGTGCGAATGTGTCCGTGGTGGAGCAATCTGTACCTACAGTAGCTGTACAGCTTCAGACTCTCCTCTAGGTAACTAACTTAATGCTTTATCTTAAAGATAAGCTTTATTTATACTATTCCACTGGTGTAATCTCCGTATTATCTTCTAGTTCCAGTATGTCCCTTCTTGGCCTGTCAAGCAAATTGCACCAAAACCTGGAATCCAGATACTGGTTGTTCCACCTGCTTTTGTCCCACTGATAATGGCCCTGTCACTGGGATCGCTGACCCACCCGTTGCCCCATGTCTTCCCATAGACTGCCCCCGCACATGCCAAGTAGTCGTTTCTGCAGCAACTAACTGTCCGACTTGCAACTGCGATTGTCCAATAGATCCATCTACTTACTTGCCGCTGTGCCCACAAGATTGTTCCATAATCTACACTAAAAATCCAGAGACTGGATGCGAAGAATGCATCTGTGATCCAGAGTACCAGGATTACCACCCTAAATCTACGCTTGTATATAATTGCCAGGACAATGAGTTAAGTTGTCCAGAAGACTGTGAACGCGTGCGTAACAAAGATACTGGATGCGTTGACTGCGTATGTCAATAAATTTCTGGAAGCAATATTTGTGCCGATATTTAATACACAGAAATCTTAAATGCCTTTTACTTTAACATAACTTATTGTTAACGCTAAACTGTTATTAAATTTTCGTCTATTCCCGTGGTATAAATGAAAAATTTAGGGGTGCTCCCCCCCCTAACGAAGTTCCTTTATGCTAATAAGGTACTCTTGATCTAAAGACCTCTGTATACTCAAATTACCCGAGTACCTTTAATTTCCTTCCTTCCCCCCCCCCCCCATCCCACAGACGCTGTATGATCCTTACGGGTTCAGCGTTCCTCAATTAGTCCTACTTTTAGTCTACCAGTTTCTCCCCCCCCCCCCTCTTTAGTGGATCTGTCGGGGGGGGGGGGGGGGGAAAGGCCACATTAGTTATTTTTCGCAGGCATAGCTAAAAGCTGGACACATCCCTCTCAAACCCCCCTCCGAGCCTTGCTACCAGAAGATTCTTGGGTTAACGATACCTTTACCCTATTTGTCTAGGGGCAGGAGAGCGAGGATGGCTCGAAACTCTGCTTGTCGATTCATCGTAGACTGCTTAGTCACCCCCTTCCCCTACTCTTTCCTTGATACCAGTGAGGGCTTTGTCAGGAATTTGATTTGCCTACCTCTGATAAAATTGACTTTGCCCCCACAGTTCAAAAACTCCATAACTTCCTCTCGCGATGATTGCAAAAGTTTTAGAAATTCTTAGTTGGATGACCTTGTGTCTTGCGGCTTAGCGCTTCTTTTTGATTATAATAATTAGTTGGATGACCCACTCTGGTAAACTGCCCTAGAACTTAATTCTTGCCGTAGGTTAGTTCCACCCGTTCCACAATTTGTAACTGCTGTTTATGAAAGTAACTAGTTCATATATAGGGGCTCTGCTACCATCTGCATGGTTTGAAATTTTAAATTTACGGTCACCGCCAGTGACCCGGATATTATCTGCAGCAGATCAGTATAACTTCCTGCTGCAACGCAGCGCTGTATGGCCCTTGTGGTTTAGCGCTTTTTAATATAATTCTGATTAAAGTTTACATATTAGCTCCGGGGGGAGTAGGTAGATTTGTTTAATCAGTATACATCGTGCATGTAGTGGAGACTGCTCCAGCAAACTAGTATGAAAGGGTACAAAAGTGCTACACTACACATAAGCAGAGCTAGATACCCTAAGGCACCTATCCGTAGATCGTGAGGAAGCAGATCAACACTAATCACTGCTCTAAACTGAGTAACTACACGGTGGGGGGGGGGAACAAATTTAGCCCCCCTTTAAGAATTATGCAAGTAGCATTTAAACTAGACCACTGTTACTGACAGTATGCATAGTAGTGGAGTCTTGTCAGGAAACGACTGGTGGAACACCCAGAAAGTAAAGCTTTTATACTAATTGGCACTGTTTCAGGGAGGGGAAAATCCTGTGTAGCAAACCTTACTAGTTTTAAAAGGTGGCAGATGGGGTACGTAGACTGCATTTTCTTAGACTGTGAGGTTTAGTTCTGTACTAGATTAGGGCAAAAACTAGTAAGGCAAGCACAAATACAGGGAAGGTACTAGTGGGGAGGGGGTACCACAGGAAGGAAACAATGATGTAGGTGAGGTGTCGGTGGCGCATGTGACGTGGGGTTCACAAGGGTTAGTCCTGGGCTGTGTAGGTTCCCGGTATTGAAGATCACGGAAAGATGATTAAAGTGTCCCAACTTGCAGGCTGTGAATCGAATCAGAGATTGAGTAATAGGCTCGGATAGGACTAGGATTTAAATTTTCCCCAAATTTGGGTCTAGTTTATATCCACCAATTGCAGTCCTGAAGATGGTCTGCGATCTTTGACCTTTCCCAGAGTACAGGCTAGGGATGCAGACTTCAAATCTCGCTAAAGGAAAAATGTCTTGATATAATGCCTAGCACCCAGTGCCTTGAAAGGATGAACTTCCTGGTAGCCGAAGCATGTTCTAGGCATATTCCCCTAAGAAGAGCAGAGTAAACTGGAGAGAAAAAGACGCTCCCTCTACAGAAGACTACGAAGTCACTGAGCTCCTCAAGAGTGCTAGAACATCTGATACACGAAAGGAGGCGCTGACCAGGGAAGTGGGAACTATCGAACTTAAGCTAAATGACTCTTACAGGAACCAGGAGAGGCAGGAGGAGCTTAAAGCTATTAGTGAAATTGAAAAGTTCAAAATATTTCTTTTCATATGCCAAAAACAAGGCAAATACACATCTAGTATCGGGCCCTTACTCAGACAGGATGGGACTTACACAGATGACAACAAGGAAATGAGTGAAATATTGAAATCCCAGTAAGACTGTTTAGTGAACCACTAATCGGTCTGAGGATCGACGACCCAAATGATTTCTTCATGAATGAGCCTCAAAACTCCATAAATGTGCCAGATTTCCGACTTACCCTAACTCCGATAAAATTTTGAAAAAGCCATTGACAACAGGCCTATGCACTCAGCCCCGGGCCCAGACTCGTGGAACTGTTTTCATTAAGAACTGCTAGAAACTCCTCTCGCATGCCCTAAGTACACTATGGAGGAGGAGCTTGGACATGGGTGAAATTCCAGTCACTTAAAACAACGGATATAGCCCCACTCCATAAAGGTGGCAGCAAAGCATTAGCTAAGAACTATAGACCAATAGCTCTGACGTCCCACATCATAAAAAAAAAAAAAAATCTGAGTGCTAAGAAGCAGGATTGCAAATCACCTGGATTCCCAAAATCTACACAATCCAGGGCAACATGGTTTCAGGGCAGGTCGCTCCTGCCTCTCACAACTACTGGATCACTGACATGGCCTTGGATGCACTGGAAGAAAATCAGAATGCAGATGTAATATACACTTTGCAAAAGCATTTGACAAATGCGATCATGGCGTAATAGCCCATAAAATACGTGCTAAAGGAATAAACTGGGAAAGTGGGGAGATGTATCTTCAACTTCCTAACAAATCGAACAGAGTAGTGGTCAACAGTTAAATCGGAGGCTGCCATAGTGAAGAGCTCTGTTCCACAAGGCACAGTACTCGCCCCCATCTCATTCCTTATCCTCATATCAGACATAAACAGATATATACACCACAGCACCGTATCATCCTTTGCGGATGATACTAGGATCTGCATGAGGCTGTGATCTGCTGAGGACGCGGTTAATCTCCAAGAAGATATAAACAAAGTTTTCCAATGGGCAACGGTAAACAATATGATGTTCAATGAGGACATTATTATTATTATAATCAAGGGGGAAGCGCTAAACCCGGAAGATATACAGCGCCTGGGGGGGGGGGGGATGTGGAAGACATTCAGGCTTAATTCGGGGAACTGGAGCACAGATCCAATTCCCTAAATCAAGAGCCCCTCACCAACCCGGGCCCAGACTCGTGGAACTGTTTTCATTAAGAATGCTAGAAACTCCTCTCGCATGCCCTAAGTACACTATGGAGGAGGCCTGGTGGCTAAAGCTCCCGCTTCACACACGGAGGGCCCGGGTTCGATTCCCGGCGGGTGGAAACATTTCGACACGTTTCCTTACACCTGTTGTCCTGTTCACCTAGCAGCAAATAGGTACCTGGGTGTTAGTCGACTGGTGTGGGTCGCATCCTGGGGGACAAGATTAAGGACCCCAATGGAAATAAGTTACAGTCCTCGATGACGCACTGACTTTCTTGGGTTATCCTGGATGGCTAATCCTCCGGGGTTAAAAATCCGAACGAAATCCTATCTTATCTTATCAAGGAACCTTCCTTGAGGGGTCAATGAGGACAAATTCCAACTACTCCGTTATGGAAAACTGGAGGAGATAATAACTAGAACAGAGTATACTACTGACTCCGGCCATACAATAGAGCGGAAAACTAATGTAAGGGACCTGGTAGTAGTAATGTCTGAGGATCTCACTTTCAAGGATCACGACAGTGCCACGATCGCACGTGCAAAGAAAATGATAGGATGGATAATGAACTTTCAAAACGAGAGATGCCAAGCCCATGATCGTTTTCAAATCACTTGTTCTCTCTAGGCTGGAATACTGCTGTACGTTAACATCTCCATTCAAAGCAGGTGAAATCGCAGATCTAGAGAGTGTACAGAGATCCTTTACTGCACGTATAAGTTCTGTCAAGCACCTTAACTACTGGGAACGCTTGGAAGCACTTGACTTGTACTCGTTGGAACGCAGGAGGGAGAGATATAATATACACTTGGAAAATCTTGGAAGGAATGGTCCCAAATCTGCACACAGAAATCACTCCTTACGAAAGTAAGACTGGGCAGGCGATGCAAAATGCCCCCAATAAAAAGTAGGGGCGCCATTGGTACACTAAGGGAAAACACCATAAGTGTCCGGGGTCCAAAACTGTTTAACAGCCTCCCATCAAGCATTAGGGGAATTGCCAATAAACCCCTGGCTGCCTTCAAGAGCTGGACAGATACCTAAAGTCAGTGCCGGATCAGCCGGGCTGTGGCTCGTACGTTGGACTGCGTACGGCCAGCAGTAACAGCCTAGTTGATCAGGCCCTGATCCATTGGGAGGCCTGGTCATGGACCGGGCCGCGGGGGCGTTGATCCCCGGAATAACCTCCAGGTAACCCATAAGCTGCAGCACATGGGGGTGCCTGTCAAACTTCAGAAGATTCTACACCTGAGTAAGAAAGTTAGTGTACGTTACTCCTACATTGGAGTATGACAGCCACACCTGGTCCAGAAATTAGAATGTAAAGATTTGCTAATGGATGTCCTACGATGAGAGGTTATGGTAAAGTCGACCTGGCTAAAGGGATAGGTGGGAACATGACAAAATGCTGAATTGACAAGGTGGATACAAGTTTTCAGATGACACCCACAAGAGGTATCAACTGGAAGTTGGAAACTGTTGATTAAATGTTAAGTATTTCTTCAGTTCTCAGGAAGTGGAACAATCGGGAGATTTTTTTATATTTTATTTAAAATACAATACATAGCTTAACATAAACCCCTTAAACTAGGGTTGATATACATTTAATATAAACACATTTTGAAACAATCCCTCAGAACGTACAATAGCAAATAA